TACTCCGTCACCGGCGCTGCCATGTGGGACCGCAAAAGCTTTTCACGAAAAGAGATTCTCATATTAGCACCAAACAAGGACCGATTTAATAAAGTTAGACAGAAAAACGTTCCTAATATTATGAATAAACGATCAAACAGTAAGATGGATTTTTTTAAAGCCGCTTTTACTTAGTCACAGTTGTCTGTGAATTTGTTATTTGTAGCTCTTTGAAATTTTCATGATACTTTAGGCGTCCAGTTTACTCATGCATCGTTTTGTACTCGTTTTTTTTTCTACTTCTACTTCTTCATTTTCTTTTTCTTTTCTGTTCTTCTTTTTTAATATTATCATTTTAAGTTTAAACAAATTCTTCTAGATTGTTGCAACATAATCCGGTTCACTGCAAAACACTATGCCAAGCGGCGAAGAAGCTTTAAATTGTCAACTGAATTTGATCAAAAGGAAGACTATCTACACCTAAATACATTAAAGTATCTTTGATTAGAATGAATCATTTTGACTCCCGGACATAGAGTTTTTCGTGACATTCTGTCCGGGAGTTCGTCCTGAAACGACATATAGACACTTCGTATAGTGTTAGCAACAACCTTTATATGTGATAAAACACTCCTTATTAGTATTCTTGATTTATATTATATACTTGTATAATATCTTTATGAGATTGAAAGGCCAATGACCCTAGCAAATGTCTCAGGTTTGACATTTTATCATTGACCAATGCAGGATGTCGACTATTTGCATTGAAACAGCCACCAGCTAGTCTATTTTACTTTGTGCGTATTCAATGTGGGAAGACAAGKGTGCTTTGTTAAGTGTTTCGCGCATGATAAGTATGCACCATATTTATCTCAAATCTTAATTTTACGACCATTTCTCCAAGAATCCTAATGGATTTAGTTCCAAATTCTAGTTTGTTTATTATAAAAAACAGTACATAATTGCACTTCTGGTAGAGGGAGAATATTAAAGTGGCATAAAAATAAATGTGTATTGCTATCATCGTATTTTACAATACAATTAAGTTAAAAAAAGAGTATTTCAATATTAGAGAAACAAAAAACTGGTTTTCAAAGTACCATCAAAACGTGGCACCCATCCAATTGGATAGGCACCGGGTCCACCAATGAAGGAGATGATTAGCCGGACCCTTAGCACTATTGACTATCACCTTGCGTTAGAAACTGAACACATCGTGTACCATTTATACCAAAAACTCGTTGATCCGCTCTGCCATGTGGGATCAAAAAATTTTTCATGAAACACTTTTTATATATTTTCAAAAGAATACTGCTTCAATGAAAGAAAATTGAAATGATAAAGGTCGATCTTGAAAATCTTTTTTTGCAGTTGTGCGATACATTTTTTTTCCGGATATCGGAGTAGTCATCTTATAATACGATTACTCAAACATTTTATTCGAATTCTTTAATTTTTATGATACTTTAGACGTCTCTGGTATCCTTATGCAAGTAAAATCTCTTGTACAGGTTTCAAAGTCAAGGGAGCCCGCGCGCCTAATACACTACAATAATTGTACCTAGAAAAGACATGCAAACCAGAAGGGGTTAGTCACGAATGGACCAGGATCCGACTAATCACCTCCCTCGTGGCTGGGCGCAACGGTCATCCATTCGGATGGGTGACCGTTTTGTACTCTTCTTTTTTTAACATTATGATTTTTGGCCTCACTATAAATTGGGACAAATTATTCTAGATTGATGCAAGATAATCCGTTTCACTCCAAAACATTGTACCACCTTTCTGAACCGATCGTAAAGACGGTCTTTTTTTCATCATTTTTTCATTTTTATCATGAATTGTAACTTATAAGAATAGCACTTCTGGAAAAGGGAAATATTCAAGCGTAATGTTCAGAGACAAAATAATATTTTTTTTCAAAAAGAAATCTGTCAAAGTGTTGTAAACTTTTACCAGGTACTACGTCACCGGCGCTGCCATGTGGGACCGCAAAAGCTTTTCACGAAAAGAGATTCTCATATTAGCACCAAACAAGGAGCGATTTAATAAAGTTAGACAGAAAAACGTTTCTAATATTATGAATAAACGATCAAACAGTAAGATGGATTTTTTAAAGCCGCTTTTACTTAGTCACAGTTGTCTGTGAATTTGTTATTTGTAGCTCTTTGAAATTTTCATAATACTTTAGTTACCCATATAACGCGCGAGAACTCGGAAATAATGTTTCAGAATTCAAGGTAGGTTTAGTTTCCAGGTTCGAGACTTGGGATATCAATGTGAACGCAAAATTAAAAGATTTGAAGATTCAAAAATTTCCAACAATCATGATTCATGATGATTAACAAAATCTAGATCGGTTTACTTATGAACCTTTGTTTGTATCAAAAAGAACGAAGTTTAAAAGACTTGACTTCGAATTTATCAACGATGAGGAAAAATACGAAGATTCTCACCTAGTTTAATTCTTAGTAAAGCTTTTTCCATACCAACTACACAATGAGCAGCGGTAACTACCCACTCAACGTCAATAAGTGATCCTCCGCATGTATGATGCCAGCCAACGCCTTTGTTTGTAACTGCGACTCTCTGAAGCTGTACATGCCATGGCCACTGATGAGCTTTGGAGATTTTTCCTGCGATAATCCGCTTGTGTTGGGTATTGTCTCTCACCTGTGCTATACCTTTGATTTAAAGATTTAGAAAAGAACGTGCTATCATCTTTGTGAAAAGCGATCTAACAACTAGAGCAGGTCGGTTTACGAGAGGGTATGCAATGGACTATCGATGGTATTTGAAATTGCTTTATAGTTATACATTTCATGAAACCGACCATCGGGTTGGTGTTTTTGGACGCTTTATTGAATAGATTAATCCAAGATGGCACCCGGAAGCACTAAAGCACGTTAATTAGAAAAAGCACAAATATGCAAAACATTCGTTTAAAAACTCTTATAACCCGTTTTTTTTATAGTGAGGCAACAGATAATTTTTTAATATGAATTGCCAAGAATCTCGTAAAAAAGAAAGCTATCACCGCCATATTGGATGATTTAACAAATAATTAAAATTCTTGAAAATAAGATTCATGTTTGAACCTTACTCAGGGTGCTGTCAGAGTACTGTCCCTATTATTAATATAATTAACGTGATTAATCAAAAGCTCTCAATTATCCCGAGCACGCATGTTTTTTTGTTAAAGGAGCTGAAAGGCAGTTTTTAGATTTAGTTGATGAATACGATGTAACGAATGTAGCGAGATATATAATGCTCTTTAAAGTAAATTCTCTGATATCTTCCGATATAATAGAACTAGCTGTACATAGTAAAAGAAAATTTAACCAAAATAATGACATTTACCTAAACTTGTTTTTCCCAGAAATACGTTGACCAACCAAAAGCTGAACACATATGCCTTCATATTTGTAATCTAACTGCACCTAACGGTACACCAGTCATGAGGCGATTGTACACGTTAAGTGGAATACTACGAACATTAAGTAAAGTGATTGTGCGGGACGCATGACTGCTTCACCACATTAAACCTTTATAGAGCTTTATATAATCGTATGAGGAAGTGGCTGATCCCATTAAAGAGCGCTCAATACACATAAAGCTGCATAAAGTGTAGAGCTAGTTATATATATGATATCAAAGAGGCAAGATTTTGCTGTAACTCCGAGTTTCGTGCTACGCACTCATCAGACAGTATATATATAGCTTTATATATGAATCTTTGAAAGTGTACATTGTTCCGTTGCGAAAGAATTTTTATTATAGTTTTTGACGTCAGGAAATAATATCGCTTTCCGAGAGGGTCTAACAACGTAATGAATCACTTCGACTTGTAAAAAGACATTTTCATCGTAGTCAATGAAATTGTTGGATTTAATTTGTCTGTTACGAATACAGCTTTGCCTAGGGAGCCAACCAGTACGCAGAATTTGTAGGAAGTAGGTTGCTTCAGTCTACATCCTAGCCGTGGCACAAACGACATAATCCCTGCATGGTCAGCGACGAAGAAACTATAAGAACAGTACATAACAAACAAACGAAAAACCAAAATGGAGAGAATATCCATGTAAATCGAACGAAACTATCAGCACTTGGTTAACGTTGTACCTCAATAGCGGTCTCCAGGCTTGTGCGCTAGACCTTCATCGCGGTCTGTATTGGATGAACCACCTTAAATGATTATCTAAAGATTTTTATTAAAGTTATTTTAAAAACTACTTGATTCATAATTGAGATGAGTACCTTTTCGAGCACACTACATTTTTTTCAGTTCACTATATTATCGCTATTTCACTACCACAGTATACACGTGACAATTCAAAAAGTTAAAAGCTTATTTACATTGAATCTGCGTATAAAAAATATGTAGAAAGAAACACGCAATAAAATAGGGTAGTTGAATCGAGGCCATTGTGAAAAACAAAAAGTCGCCCGTGAAACGCAGTTCGAGATGGCGACAACCAATTTTTCAGTTTCAATTTCAATTCGAAATCTGGGATGTTTTGAGGCATATCCAGCCTCCAAAGGGTAACTATCACAGCAAAATGCCCGACTATTTTTATTATCCAAAAAATGTTCTGAAAGCAGTGGGCTATAAGCGCGCACTGATAGAACCCCTCCGCGACGGGCACAAACGCGTTAACGTGGTCGATCGACCTCGACCAATGAGCGCGTAGGAAAATTTATTGTTGAATAAAGTCATAGTAAATAGACGGCTTGTATATCGAGATAATAAAAAGTATTTTCTTTATAAAAATCACAAAAAGAGCGCAGTAAAAGGCTCAAAGCTGGAAAAAAGAATGTTCTAGTCAAAGAAGACAGTTTCATTCTTGCAAACAAGTTGGATGGTTGAGTTCTTGGCGGTAACAAGCTGAGCTGCCCAGGATGGATAGTCATTTAAATCAAACATGGCCATTCCAAAAGTATTGATGCATACCATTAGGATTGCACATCCAATCAAGTTCATACCGAAGCCAGCTTTTGCCTAAAACACACAAAATATGGTGAGTATGAAAGTAGATTGGTTGTCTCTTTTGAGTCGTTTTTTCCGATACCGCAACACCAAATCTTTCGTTTGTACCTGATCAAGTTGAATAAACTCCTTTCATAAGAAGCTTCATTTCTTAATATCAATTTCAGGGACCGCGAACATTTTTGTTTAATATTTGCTCCTCGGAAAATGCAGTAAGCTCTACTATCCTGCTTGTGAGAATGGAAACTCAAAAAAATAACTTTATTTTGACTGCTAATACCTTTTGGCAGTTTCAGATAATATTTTTAGAATATTCACTACATAAATGATATGTTCTCGAAGCCCCTCAAATGCTAAAAACAGCATTTTCGAGGTTAAAAATGTTAAAAACTTCCCGTGACTCCCCCTACTTGATCCATCCTTCGGTGCTCTCGTTACCAACCCCAGCCAAAAATATGCTCCGCGGCCCCTAGARTTACAAGACGTGCACCATACATAAAGTCTTACCATGTCTGTCACTTTCAAAGCACCACCAGCGAATACTATAGCATTAGGGGGGGTAGCGACAGGCAGCATAAAGGCAAATGAGCAGGCAACAGTTGCAGGAATCATAAGATACCATGGATTGACTTGTATACTTTCACCCTGGAAAGATGAACAAAATAGAGCTAAAGTTGGAGAATCATGACAGACTTGTCTCGACATTGTTGCTGTCCATGTTTTCGGTCAGTATTTCTAGCTTTTCATGGCCTGTTTTTTTTTTGTTTTTTTTTTTGCTGTTGCCAGTGCTGAAAATGGTTGACAACAATAACATTGATCATTGATGTCTGACTTATAAAYATTAACAACAATGTTTTGCGAAAATCTGAAGCTGTTTTGGATTTGTTTATCGTCAAGTCCGGTTACTTMGCAAATCGTCCATTAGCCTGCGTGGCGGATGTGCCCAAGCACTGGAAAAAATCGCGCGCTTTAAAGGTTGTAAATTTGATGTAAATATGATGTAAGTGTCCAAAATTCTGTAAATTTAATGGAAATCATTTACTTAAGTTCCCTCTCCTCTCTCTTCCGATGCACTAGAGCCGCCAAGGAGCCGAATCCTTCATTGTCTCTGACAGCCCCAGATAACTACACATAGCTAAARAGTTTAAGAATGTTTACGAAATGATTCACTTACCAATGAAGCAAGTATGGGAAGGAATATTGTTGCGGTAGCTGTGTTTGAAGTAACCTCAGTAAAAGTTGTAATAAGAACACAAACGATGGCTACAATTGCCCAAGCTGGGATTGCCTTGAGACCTGCTAGCTGCATGCCAAGCCACACAGAAAGACCGGAATCCTATACCAAGAAACACAATTTAAAATAAAGATATTAATACATCTGAAAAACAATTTCTTCGGTTGTTCAATTTTTCGCTTTTGTGATAGCTGCCTCTACAACTTCGTACGCGCCCGCGATAATCTTTCATGCAATGTTAAAGGACAGGGAAGAGAGTAACGCGGGCGCCCGAAATCCCGACGGTAGAAGACTTAGCCTACCAATTAATACAGACAGATACATACGTTTGGTTATGTTGTAGGCAATTTGGAAATATTGCAGACTTTTTTGACACATAGGGAAAGTTCGCTATTTCTGTAGTTTCTAGACGCAGCCACCTTCCCATTAGTCAATACGAGACGTTGGAAAACATTAGCCAATAGGCGTAAAAATCAAACCTTGCACGCTTTTGCCAGGGCGAATCCACTACCAAGTAAGATGATGATATTCCAAGGTAACTTGGCGGCTACTATCTTCCATGTCAAAAGTGCCGTTGGTGGCTTAGTAACTGTTGATAACATTTGAACCCAAKTTATTAGATATTAGCCGCAAAAGTAAGTGGAAAGTGCTCAAATAAGCCTCATAGTCAGCAGAGACCGCGGAGCATGGGAGTGAGCAGGGTTGGTTTCCCAACTCCYCGTTTATTTATTTATTTCCTTCCGTTTCTTTTTTTGCTTCTTCGAAAATGTGCAAAAGGAACCTCTACTGTCTTGCTTGAAGTCCCTTAAAATACTCGAGGAAATCGCATWTTSGAGGTTCAATTTACAATAAYAACTGGTGCCCGCTACTAGCGCCGTAGTCGAACRGAYCTAAAWAGGCGAGCGAAGCAAGCCAGCAAAGACCAGAAAATTAGGTGAAACKGTTATATTAGTCGTCTTACCTGCTCCCTCTGGGTTCCAGCACAGGAACTGCGGTCTTTCAGAAGGGAAAATAAAGAGCGAAAAGGCAATGATCATGGCAGCGGTTCCATCTCGTAYAAAGCTAAAGAAATTGAGCGCATTAATATCRAGTTTGAGGTGACAAGGAACTATGGTGTGCGKTAGAGTACACGTACTTTTTTTTGAAGATGATAGCCCATCCTGGCATAAACTTGGGGTCACGGAATAACCACATCAACGCCAGTAAGATGAAATGACATAAAACTGCCTTTTCTGCAAAACTAATAGGAGTATAYAAAAGTAACGTTTTTGGACATAATTCACTTCGATTCATTTCGCTGCTATCGACCGCGTCATTACCTCATCGGACCAAGCGCCTTGTATTCCTGAATCAATACGCTTTTAGCTGTATCTGTTTCGTGGCGACTTTGGTTGTCTTTCTTGCACGAACACCTGTAAATTTTGGTGAAGAAACAATGAGTTTTTGGCAAGTTTTAGATCAAATCAAATAATGTGGAAAAATACAAGTCAGTCGTTTCTATCGGTATTTGAAACAGTCGAAAAATGCCGAGAAAAAAATTGTTGTTTACGATCTTYTGTTAAATTTGACCCAAAATTTGGTGCATTCAGTCTCGTGTACGGCCTCATGGACTATCCACTCGTACCCCACTATATACCTTGCGCGGTCTAATTGCTATAATTATATATCATTATAAGTAATAGCATTATTCATCTTTTTATTGCGATGGAGCGTTCTTTGCCTAGCTTTGGTTATTATGTTTTAGTTTTGATTGAGAACATCCATGAAAACACTGTACCTTAAACCAAGGAAAAGTATCTGTAGCCACAGCCACGCAACAAACAATAGGATAACCATCTCTGGGAAGGCAAACATGAACCATGTGGCAAATCCTATACCTGGACTTTTAGGGAAAAGTCTGCGGAAAAATAAATAATTGAACGAATGAGAGAATAGATGGAGAGATGAATAGGGAACTAAATCAATGAATGGACTGAAAAATAAGCAAAGAAATCTTGGTCACATGTCTATTTTGGACCAACAAAAACAACACAAAACGAAGCGAAACAAAACGAAAGTAACAAAACACAAACAAAACAAAACAAACATGAAAAAGGGAGTATCAACTAACTTGGTAACCTGTCCACTGAGGACTAGGTTTGGTGCTGTTCCTGTCAATGTAGCTGTTCCACCGATGTTGGCAGCATATGCAATGCTTAGAAGCAGCATTTTGCTCATATTCTTGAACTTCATTTCAATTTGATCCTGAAAGTTCGTTGATATGAATTAAGCATTTTCTACTCGTCATGCTTGCAAGACGATCGCAAACCCTTCTGGGAAGGAGTGATAGTGTACAATAATGAGTGTTTCCAGTGTGRGCTTCCTATTATTAACTAGACGCCCCTAGAGCGTGAAGTCGGGCTAACTGCATGGGTGCGCGGATACGTGAAAGAGTGAAAGATTTTCAACACGATAAGATAAATTTGTATCTCCAAGCGACCATGTAATATTATCTATCATATAATTATATATGAAAGTAAATTATGGCGTAGAACACAGCCAACCCGGCCAATAGTTGATCTTTGAATACTTCCGGTTCCAATATCACTAATTCTTAACTTTGGTAGTCCAAACGCGAAATAGATAGATTGACGAAAAGGTAAAACTAAAGTCGGGCCGCCTACGGCTARCGCGACTAAAAAATGAGTGGCATATCATCCTTGTAGACCGTTCCTGTCGAATTCCTCAAATTTTAGAATTTGCCAGGAACAGCCTTCGAATGAGTGTTGACACATTAGAAATGTACCTCTAGGTCTTTTCCTATAAGGTTGGCGCTTGATCTAAGGCCAAACAAAAATAAATCAATACATAGAAAAAGAATAATGGATGTGTTTTTTTTTTTTGAAGAGTACAAACCTTTCTCCCTCTGCGTTGCGTTTGGAATCCACTTGATTATCGACCATGTCAACTGTTGTGATTTCTTCATCACTGCGTTCTTTTTCTTTCATCTCGATCTTGACACCAATGTTACTGTTCTCAACATCACARGCATTATTAACCATTACATCTCTTTTCTCTTTGGTGCTTTCCTGTTCTTGTTTCAGTTGTTCAGCTTTGAGTTGTGCGAGAACGGCTTCAGCAATAGGAACCATCATGGCTGTGGTTGCAGTGTTGCTAATCCACATTGACAAAAATGCAGTTACCAGCATAAATCCAAGAATAAGCCTATAAYAACGAAAAGAATCACTTAATTTATTTAACAAATATTTTCCAATATCATTGCATCTCAGTCTCATTTGACCAGGCGTTCCATGCAAACACGAGCGGAGCCTGGGAAAGCGCCAAACAAAAGATCGAGAAATGGGGAAGCCTGTGTGCTTGACTGACTGAGTCCTATTAAATAGGCGATTTGCATTATGGCGTCATTTACTACAACTACCAGAATGCTTTGCCAACTTTCTTTTGTAATGCAATTAGTGCCAATTGTTTTATTAACCTCCAAGGGAATTAAAAATCTGAATAACAATGAAAATGCGCAAGGCTCTCTGGTAGTTGTAGTAAAGTTACGTCATAATGCAAACGGCCTATTGCCGATATTATCATCACCACCGTACAATMATCATCGTTATCATTATAGTACACGAGTATCTCCTTATAACAATCATCAGTCAACCGATGTCTCACTGTTGCTGTTATCATAATCATAATCATTAAAATCATCGTTCGCACAAATAACTTTACCCATGTTRCCATGGTTACCTTCGTGGTTGAGTCCCTACAAGAAGCAAGACACGGAGAGCAATCCGTTTATGTAGCATCCAGTTTTCAATCGCCACGGCAACAATTAGACCGCCCATGAACAGAACGTTAGTATCTTGAAAATACGGAGGGCTTATATCTTTAGACCCCACCACGCCCAGTAACGGGAACAGCACCATCGGTAGAAGTGCTGTGACTGCAAGAGGGACTACCTCTGTCACCCAGTAGACCGCCATTATGAGAATGCAATATGCGCATCGGGATTCCTGTTTGTTGACAACGGGATATTTTCATTATTTCTTCTTTTTTAAAGGCGCATGGTCATCCAGCAATCATTGCGGTCGTGTTTTGTTTTGTTTTTTTTTTTCATCCGTAGCTAGATTCAAGATCGAATCTTGCAATATCTCCATTCATAAAGTAGTAAAGGGAGTTTTTTAAAGTTGTTTTCTTTATGATTGCGATGTATTTTTATTTTTAAACATAYAAACAAAGCTTGATAGGGAAGCCAGCTTATCATTATAATTTTAGAGTCATTTCAAAAGACAAAACGGCATGGCATGACGTGCGATTGAGCTAAGAAGGCGTATTATTCTGTCTCGCTCCTTGACGACGCAGAATCCGGAGTGTTCCTGGATTCCGGATTCCAAGTTCCTCTATTCAGGATCCTTCATTTGGATTATGTAAAACATCTTAGCTTTTTTCTTCGTCGTCAATGACTCGTTTACAGTCAGGAAACATTTGAAGTTACTAATTTGGGCTCCCGAATCCTCTAGTTATCAGCCGGGGTTATCAGAAGATGCTTTCCGTTTTCATTGACGCTTCTTCTGGAATTGATGCGTAAAATATATATACGTGACCAGCTTACGCTACAAGTTTTGTGAAAATTGGCTCAGACAATTCCAGACAGTAATCGAGATCATAAATGCTACAACTTTCGATTTCCTGGATTTGAGTTTTGAACAGAAAATCGGCTGACCAGACCATTATATTGTATTGATATTGATAGGCATCTCAGAAGCATTTTCAGCGCGATATAACAGCAATATTTATTCAAGCACGTACGTAAAATTAAACAATTATTTATAAAACGACCGCAGCTCACTTCAAAACTCATTTATTTAGCTCAAAGACTTCTCTTCAGTATTTTCAATAATGTAAACAAATCAGCCTTTTTGACCAGTAATGAATATATTACATTTAGGGACCAGCACTTTCATAATATTGTACATAACCGCGCGAGGCGTCTCTAGGGTCCCAATGACCTTCATTAGTCATTCAGTTTCAATTGCAAACATTACAATACAAGTGAGGTCAATTAGAATTCATTACCGTAAGGCCAAAGAAACTTATTGCATACTCCTACTAATCAGCTCTCTCGATACGCTTTACTCAAAGCAAACATGACTGACGAACTTACCGAGCTTGGAACAGCCAGAGGCAAAGGCAAAAGCAACAATGGAGTCAAAAGGAGAATAAAATAACTTCGCCACTTTAGTATCTTTCTCTTCAATAGACCGGCGGTCAGAGKAGTCGYCATATCGTATCGATTCGTCTTCATTTTCAAGCCTTCAGGTTCAATATTGTCCTCGGCTGCTGTAACGAGAGTCGCTCCCTCAAATTTGCTGCACTGATATCTATTGTTACCTGCGGTTTAAAATGTCAAAGATTACTTGTTTCGGTCAAGGTTATCTGACTTATCCTTCACAGTATCATTTCAGATTCAGCCTAAAAGATGAGTTGCAAGTTCCCTTGTATAAAACCTTTCGCAATTCAGCATTGAAAGTAAACAATGGTGTTTGAAAATGTTAATTTGTACCTGACATAATGTTTACATCAAATACAGCAACCTTGTTTGAACAGCTACAGAGCGAAAGAAGCCTTGACCAAATTACTAATGTATGTTAATGTATTTTAATTTTTTTTTTTAAATTGGAACATGGTCACGAAATGAATAGTAATTTTCGCATGGAGCGCAAATAATGAAAATCACAAAGCAACTGTATAAAAACTAAAAAAACCCTGCGAATTATCCAAAATGACCCTGTTCAGAGTAGCCGGGGTTATTTCCGGTTTATGTAACGCATTCTGCGAGTTCTCATTCTGGCGTCACACCAAAATAGTTGCAAGAGGTCCAAGAGGGCCGCTGGGAACATAAGTTAATTATAAAACGCGTTGCAAAATCAGCAGTTATTAGCAACCGAGCTATATATTCACGTAAACCGTCAAAAGATGATTGACTCTAAATTTAGCAGAAACCGCCAAACCGCAAACCTGAACCSTCAACAAAACAAAGAAAACTAACATGAAAGTGAATTTGATAAACAAAAACGCAAACTGAGAAACAAATTATTATTATTATTATTTTTTTGAAGTTGTGATGTCAGAGTGAAATAGGCAATAATTCATTGAAATTCATCAACTCCTCCAACAGCTAAGCAAATCTTATTTGTCAGATGTGCATATATTGTTGCCTGTTTTATATAAAAAAAGATGAATATCGCTTACATATAGAAATAAAGGAAAGTTATAGTGCTAGGAAGGAGGTTATTGATAAGGTAGAAAGACCCTTGAAGTAAATTCGGAAAAATTAATTTTCGACCTCGTTAGGATTCGAAACCACAATAACGAAGAGAGAAAATATCAAACCTCTGGGACCAGGGTAATTTTTTCTTAGCTATGGTGCTCCGCTCGTGCGGGCATTCGGCCCGCTCGGGAGCTCCGCTATTAAAGTGCGTCGAGGTAAAAAATATCTTAGTTTACTAATTATTTTTTATATATAATCAATACATAAAATAKTATATTGAGTTTTACGTGTCATGGTGGTATACTGACATTCGGCGGATGGCTCCAACTGAAGCCCGATTACTATATGCAAACTTTCTGCTTTTTTTAGCCGGTATGCCTGTGCCTCGTCCAATATTCAAATTTTCTACCACAGGAAACCCGCAAAAACCTTGTCAACGATTTATAAATTATCATTTAGCCATGTCTTATGTTCGTAGCAATGCTTTTGCCTATTCTATGACCACTCTGGCTGCACAGTTGATGCACTCKATTTTCAGTTTCTATTATGTGAAAATCTTCCTGAATGTTTATCGGTGAGTGACGCGGTGTTTGTCATTGTTTTGATTACGTGTCATGATTGCTGTGTCCGATTTTCTTCATTTATATCTATATTGTTTATACACTGAGTTAGCTGTTTGATTTTATAAAACTAGAATATTTATCATGCCGTACAAACATGAGTTATTTCAATTAAATTGAAGATTTTAAGATGTGATAAATTAGAGTAGAATGAAGTCATTAAACCAGTGCAACAAATCTTGACTATAAAAGGGTGCATAGAAGAAAAATATGCACTTGGAGCATACTAAAGTGTATTTTGGTCTTATATTTTCTTTTTCTTCACTATAATCATGATATGTCAATATTTATGTTAGAAAGAGTGGTCCATTAAATGAAATGCACTTAATGTATAAGCGTGCATTATATTTCTTTTTTATATTGTGCTTGTTTTTCTATATCTTTTCACTTTATCACACATTATATTATACACATTAACCATATTTACACTTTGTTAAATTCATTGGTTTATAATGAAAACATTACTCTAAAGATGATAACTATAATATTTAATAGCATTTGCATGATTAATTTATTACTTTTATAGCTCACTTTAAAATATTTAATTGCCCTATGCATTACTAGTCACACGTGATTACAGTGTTTGATTGGTTATTAATTTGTAGATATCATGTATCAGTTGTAGTTCAAGAGTACACGTGTTAATACTGTTTTATCATAGTCATAGTTCAATAGCTATCATAATTCTTTATTTCATCATCTTTATTTCATCATGGAGTCTCGAATAACTCGACGTAGTAAGAGAGTCGATTATGCGGCGATGGAAGCTGCCGGCTCCCTCAGCCGTTAGATGGCGAGGATGATTAATTACCAGTATTTAGTGATATTATGTAAGCTTTACCCTATTGAGTGTGAGTTCAAAGTTATATTATTTTTCATGTCTTTTTCAGTATATCTGAAGGATGGTTTAACTTTGCTCAAGTGGTTTTCCTAATATGGAATGCCATCAATGATCCACTCTTTGGCTACATACAAGTAAATGTGTCTTATTTATGTAATATATCTTGATAATTATCAGTCTTAACTTAACATGGAACTCCACATAGTATTACAGAGAAAAAGCAGCATTTACAATATGCTAGTAAAAAAACATTACTCAGTAACTACAGGCATATCGTCTGGTAAACAGTCAAAGGTTATTCAGTGGTATTCTAGTCTTGCCTCTAAGCCAAGATGAATTCTCAAAGAAGTACTGATTTCACAAAAATTTGTTGAAGTGTTTTTTGTTTATACCCACAATTCCATTCCAGTAATGTGAACAGACATAGTAAATATCTTTGTAGTTGTTAAAAACTTCATTTTTAGGATACTTCAGGCTGGGAAATATTTAGAAACAGGCAAAAAGCTATTTTATATGGAGCTCCCCTTTTTGCAATAAGGTAATATTTAAAATTGTAATTTTACTAGAATCCCTATAAGAGCACCTCCGCAGGTCACATATGTCATTAGGCTGTATGGGCTGCCTTTGTTTTCCAAAATTATTAAAAATACATACTAGAATATTGATTGACTAAAAGGAATCGCCCCATGTAAGAGAATCCAGAGAACTAGAGGATTCCGGATTCCAAGCGCTGGATTCCGGATTCCGAAACATTGGATTCCGGATTTCAAGCCTTGGGATTCCGGATTCCAAAGAATTTTTGTTTTAGATTCTGTATAATAAATGGCCTGATTTTCAAGGTTTTTTTTTCCTGAAAATTTTAAATTCAGCGTGTCAGTAGCCTGGGCAGGGGCGTCAGCGGGACGATGTCCTATGTGTTTTTTAGATATCAAAATTTTTACTTGATTCCAGATTATGGATTCCAAATATTTGGATTCCGGATTCCAGGATAGTGATTCCGGATTCCAAAGCTGTTTTTGTAGTGGATTCCGGATTCCGGTTCCAGATTCTCTTACACGGGGCGAAAGGAATTAGGCCTTTTGCAGCTGGGGGTCACGTGACCACCCCTACCTTAAATCAATCAGTTATCAAAAAAGGATGTTCAGAAATGGACAGAGCAGGTTTATGTTGGTAAAATCGCAAAGTCTCAAGTCTCAACTTGAAATACTTAAAAAATGACAGCAAATGTAAAATATTGATTCTTCTAAAGAAACGTATGGGAAAATAGAGCTTTCTCTCCAGTTCTGTTTTTGCATATGTTTCTTTAGAAAAAAAATGATTTTATATTTGCTGTCATTTTTGAAGTATTTAGTGTTGAGACTTGAAACTTTGTCTTCTTACTTATTTTGATCCCCTCTTTCCATTTCTGAACATCATTTTGTGATAGTCAATTAATTTAAGGTAGGGGTGGTCACGTGACCCCCAGCTGCAAAAGGCCTATTGYATTCATTCTCTCGCAGTCAYTATGAGGSTTGTTTCTGGGTCTCTAGGGTCGCTAGGGGGATGAGACATGGGAACGAACCTTATAACGGCTGAGAATTGTTGTATTATTCTTATTTCTCATGATGTTTTGTCAGATTCAATCCATGCCAACATCTTCATTATATTTTATTTTCTGTAAGCTTTCTGTTACCATGGTTTCCATGGGTGTCAGATGGTACTAGTGACTGGTTGGTTGGTGTCCATCTCTTGGTATCCCTGTTTTGTTATGATGCATTATTTACCTTTGGTATGTAGCAAAATAGAAATATCTACTTGAGCACTTCTTGGTTTGTTTTTGTGTGACCACTGAAGTGAGATTTGCAAGTCTTTTATTGACAATTGTAAAAGTGGTCASAAAAGTATGCAAAAAAAATATTGGAAAGTATTTAAAGGGACATGGTCCACCAGCATCCCTTTCGAGCTTTTGTTTATGTTTGAAAATAGAAATACATCGTAAATAAGCAAAAAATTACTCTTTATTATTCCTTTATCCTATATGAATGGAGATGCTTTAAGATTCGACCGTTAAACCGATGGATGGAAACGGATTGCAAATGGATATTCGAAGTCACCTCATTTTCCATATATGAAAAATCTAAAACACGACCGCATTGCATGCTAGTGGACCATGTCCCTTTAA